GTTTTTTATAAGAAATGTATTTTCCAAATGTCTAAAACCCCCATCAGATTAGGATGGTGAAAATTCCCCTTCACGGTCTTTCAACTCGGTCTAAGATCTTAGGTCTTAGATTGCTGACAATCTATATACATTAGAATCCTGAATGCTTCCGGTCAGAAAAACCCTTTCCTTTGAATACGCTCAAGTAACCTCCATAACAAACAGGCTGACTCATAGACAAATCCAATTTTGAAAACACAGATGTAGATTCCAGCAGTGCTTTACTATTGGATTTGCCTTCACTTCCCACGATTCCACCCTGGGCTATTCCTGCAGGAATCACGATTCTGCTATTGACGATTCCCGTGTTAAAATCTTCATAATATACATGAGTGAACATTTGTGTGTGTAAATATTCATACGTGAGTTTCTTTGTGCACATACCTAAATGTGAGTAAGTGAGCATCCAGTCAAGTTGTAGTTCTGGTATTCCAAGTGCTGGTCCCTTAGATTCTAGTGGTAGACTCAATGGTCGTGGTGGTATTTCAGTGGTTCCAATGGTAGCGCCAGTGGTTGCGTAGTCCCAATAGTATTCCCGTTGGTCCCAATTAACCCAGTGGCCGTCTCGGTGTTAGTTGCTGGTCCTGCTGGCAGCCCAGGTGATTGATGATGATACCAGCTGGTATCGACCCAGATTTACCAATAAAACATATCACATAGGTATTTGTCATATGTTCAATTGGATATGACACTAGGCTGGCCAGGCCTTGCAGACTATCCCATCTTGCCTTAATGCCAAGGTAGAAATGAGGTGGAACTAGGCCAATTCCATGCACTAGGTATTTGGCCTTGCATATCAGTGACTGGGATATGAATAAATTTTAACCCTTTGATGACAATTCAAATGTTGGAATGATGAGAATTGACAAACTCTAATATAGATGGTATACAAATGCAATTGATGACAAGTCTAAAAATTCACATTTCAGACAATTGTAAGTTATGATCCAAACAATTCCAAGCAAAATTATTGACAAGGACATATCAATGTCCTTGCATAGTGCTGCAGTGATGTGGGGACCTAAGCCAGGACATTTCACAGGTGTTTTCAAATCACTTAAATAACTAAATATATAGTGTATACATACTGTCAAAGTAATTTTAGCAAGGTTGAGATGTGTCCTACTTCAGGAGACCAATTTTGGTCGGTAAAAAAAATATTTTTTGATTTAAGCTTTTAAGAAAGTACCGTGTTGATACACAGGACCACTGCACACACGCGCATGCCTGCATATATATTGATATTGCGACGGGTGCAAAATATGTGCCTCGAGATGCCAGGGCCACGAAGGCCCGGGTGTCGCCTTTCCCAAACACCAACAGCTGTGCCTCCGCCTCCATTGGACTCAGCCGGCCTCTGCCTGTAGAGCCTTGTGCTTGTCCTCGGGTATTTTTAACCTTGCCTCTCACATGGCCCCTTACTGATTGATAGGGCAGCGGCACCAATCTGCGTTTTTTTTGGGGGGGGGGGGGTGTGGACCGGGTGTGGAACTAGCGGCCGCTCTTGTCGCAGACTTTTCCCCTTCTCGTCGCTCGCCAGTCCTGCGCACCGTCGCCTTTTCCCACCCCCCCCCCCCCCCCTCTTGCCGGGCACCTGCAGAGCTGAATGAAGATTATTCCAGGTAGGAGTGCGGAGCGAGCTGCGATCGGGCGTTGCGTTTGGCGTGGAGGGAGGAGAGAGGGTTCTTCCCTTTAGCCCGGCCAGCCCAGGCCCTCGCCGCGTCGCGGCCATGCCTGCCCCGCCGGCCTCTCCTGGCCTGGCCCCCCGGGCACCTGCCGCCGTCCGTCGTGTCGAGCACGCCGCCCTCCTCTTACGGGCCCAGGCATCGGCCGGTCGCCTCGGTCCAAAGCCGTGTCCGCGGAGTTTGCGAATCGGTGGTCTCCGTTCGTCATTTGTTTTCGCTCGGCGTTGAAAAAATGCCGTTGTCGTCTCTGTTACAATATGTGTACCATACATGAAAGTAAGGGTGTTAAATTTCGATTTAAAGCTTTCGTGACTGCAAGGATTCATCTTCTTTGGTTCTTTCGGTAAAGTCACGTAGAATGAGAATAAAATAATAAATTGATAAAATAAAATAACACAATAAAATTCTCACGACGTTTCGGCCACAACACAAGCGGCCTTCATCAGGTGAAGGGAGCGAGACTGTCTGTCCTCCAGACAGGGACGAGACTGTCTGGAGGACAGACAGGTCTCGTCCCTTCACCTGATGAACATCGTGAGAATTTTATTGTGTTATTTTATTTTATCAATTTATTATTTTATGCTCATTCTACGTGACTTTACCGAAAGAACCAAAAAAAAGTAAGGGTGTTAATTAAATGTTTGTCGTAATTAAAGAACTTGAATTTTAAACATCCAATCCCCCCCCCCCCCTTGCCGCCTCAAGGCGTTGCTACGCGTTATTGCTAACATGTTGAGTGCGTCACAAAACCCTCGACTCGAGAGTCGTCATGCGGGTTTGGCAATTATCTGTCCCTTCAAATAATGGAGTAAATTGTTAGGTTCTTTTTTTGAAAAAATTGTTGCATTTGAATTTGAAATTTTTCTCACGCAATGTGTTTATGTAAAATATGTTTAAATTTTGATTTAAATTTCGATTTAAAGCTTTCGTGACTGCAGTGATTCATATTCTTGGTTCTTTCGGTAAAGTCACGTTGAAGGGAAACAATAAAATAATCAAATATGTATAAAATATATTGTTTTATATATTATTGTTATATATTTTATTATATTATTGTTTCCCTTCAACGTGCCTTTACCGAAAGAACCAAGAATATAAAATATGTTTGTTTGCCATATATACAATATGAGGATGGTGCGTGGTGGCATGGGTAGCACACTGGATTTGCAATACAGAGGCAATCCAGAGGTCTTTGTTTCAGAGTGAACTCCTGGCGCAGCAGTTGAAACAACATTTTAAAATCCCTCCGAATCAGTCCACCCGGCAGAATGCATTGGCATACCAGTTGGCCAATCGTCGAGCGGTGTGTGGTGTGGGCACTCTCACCTTTTCCAAGACGTCTGGCCAGCGTGTGAAGAGTAGGCCAAATACCCCCTAGAGCAGTGTTCCTCATTGCAAGGCCCGTGGGTCACTGGCGGCCCCTGGTGGCCTTTAGTACGGCCCCTGACGTGCTCACCGCCTGACAATCCACAAACGTAAAAACACCTCTTGCAGGCGGTGTGGCGGCCCTCGCACTGATGATGTCTTATCGGCGAAAGTGGGCCCCCCTCTGAAAGTTCGTAAAGACCACTGCTCTAACGGGCGCACTCTCTTGAGCTCACTCACACGAAGGCTCTTTTACCAGCAGTGGCATGAGGAAGATATAGGATTGCACCTTTACCTTAATCGTCATCAGCTATGGCCATAATAAAGGTTTTTGAGTTTAATCGCATAAGTATAAATTCGTCATAACCCTCCACCACCCGACACAGCCAGTCAGGTTTGTCACGTAAAAAATGCACCAATTAGTTACTACTTCAGCCCACTGGTGTGTTGGAGAGTAAATCCACAACATTTGCAATTTAAGTACGACGTTTCACTGGTATTTACATCCAGCATCATCGGGCGATTTGTCAGAATAGCTATGGTCAGTCCACCTCCACCTCGTGTGATCCTGCGATGCAAGAATCCGTCCGGCTCCCACGCATGACCTGATATCATCGCTCCATCTCGTCAGTGGGCATCCTCTCTGATGCGTTCCATTCCTTTGTCGCCACTCCGTTATTATTCTTGACCACCATCCATCATCCCTTCGAACGACGTTCCACCTGCATGTGGTCTCTAATCCATATCTTCCTCTTTCTGTCTCAATTGAATTCCATGCATGCATGTCTCCTTGATTAATTTTCAGTTTTTGTTCTGTTTACTTTTATACCTAACATACATATTATAGAGTAATATATTGTTTGGACCACAGAGATATAGACTGCTTGGCAATGGGTAAAGCTTGTGACTGAATATTAGTATTTATAGATTATTTCTAAAAGCTTATATTGTACGTTAAAAGTGTATTGCATTCTTAATGCTTCAGTAGATTGTTTTGCATAACGTGGTTTCCATATCTCGTGTAAAAAGATAGTCATACGAAATTTTTAATAAAACGTTGGCTCAGCTTGTATTTATTAAACTTGTGGTTACGTACTGAATGTTATTGCATGGTTCCTGTACAGTCGATTTTCGTCTGTTTTTTCTATATTTCAGTTACCACACGGAAACATCACTGTGGAGAATGTGATCAAGAATAGAGGAAAGTAACTGCTTGAAGAATTCAACAGACGTTTTGAATTAGCACGATGGGAATGCTGTGAATGCATTACCCCATCATTGGGACATGAGCTCGATATTCATTCTCTATATTTGGTTCTGTAACAGGAACTCTCGTTTAAACAGTACAGTTGCTTTCTGGAATGTATACCAAGCGATGCAGCATAAACAGTCGTCGCAACGAGGGAACCCATCCTCCGTTGTATTGTCATGCGACCTAGGATGACGATGTTTTTTTTGTTGAGGTGTGGCACCATTTCAGCAAAAAGTATTGTGATGCCGTCTTTAGTGGGGCGAGTTTTTACAAAAAAAATAGTTGAATGGATTGAAAAGCGGAGCAAGTTGCTGTGGTTATGCTAATGATATCAACCGCAGAACAGCATTTACTCTCCTTCTTTAAAGACAATGGAAATGCGGCATGGCGGTGCATCACGCCTTGGGCAAAAATTGCTCTGAATGTCGCACAACCTCATTAGATCTCGGAAGATATATTTTCCAATCTAATATATATTATAGAATGCCTTCACTCAAGGCACTTGACACGGCTTACAGAACGATGACTGCATGGAATGTTGTAGTTGACAGGTGTGTACAAGGATTGGGGAATGGGTGACAGCGATATCGGGTACTTGGGGATCACGAAAGGGGAGGGATGGAAGGGAGTGGAGGGGCCGAGGGGAGGGAAGAGGAAAAGAATGGGCTGTAGAGAAGAGGTGATTTTTAATAGAAGAATGAAAGGAGGATAAGAAGAGGATTATGCTATAGCACTAGGGTGGAAGACCCCCCTGTGAATGCCAGTTGTTGTAGGTGTTGGCTGTGACGTGATACAGTAATGCATCATTGCATCTATCTGTGAAAGATCTTTGGGTGTTTTTACCCCATTGTGTGTGGGTTTTCTCTGGGCGACCCTGGTTGTCTCCCACTTGCCAAACACCCATCGTAATTATATGTAGTTATGGAATTTGTCACTCATCCCAAATTCAAGGCGTTCCTAAAAAAAAATGTAGCGAGACCCACGTAGCATTTCTGGGTAAATTGAGGGCATTAGTTTTTTTTTTACATATTTTCAGACAAAAGAAAATAAATGTTGGCGTGTCCTCATTAATTATTATTGCTGTTTAGATATTGTATAAATCGAGTGGAACCATCGCCAATTCTAACCGTATTTGGTGTATGCCATGGTGCTATTGAGGCTTCTGACGGGCTCTTATGGGACACCCCAAACGGCGTGATATAATCTTGTGTGCGCACATCAACACGCACAGGAGTAGACAGTTCACGTGCCCACAAGGCAGTGTCATTTTCTATTATTTGCAACAGTCAAGACTGCTGAAAGCATATCTAGGCCAACACTATCATGACTGGCAGTGGACACCAAAACCTTGCATGCATTTTCCCGCTCAAAAATGCGTTAATTTATCTGTACGCCATTAGCGGGTTTTCTGGCCGCGCTAATGCTTGTTGCCATGCTCGCAAATCGGCTGACGGCAGACTGACTCTTTAACTGTGCACATCATTGTTATCGTGGGAGGAACAGAGGCTGAAATCATGGCGAACGTCCATTTTACGAATCTCTTTTGATTTTGTGATCTCTGACTGAATGAGTGCGACACACCTGATCTATGGGCCATCCTGAAATGTGTGGTGCGCTGCATTTGCAGTGAATGCTTCAAAAATTAAACGACAGACCTCCCCCCCCGATCTCATTGGAATGACAATGTGATGTATCCAGGACAATGTTCCCCCTTTTACAATGACCCTGCTCCCAATGCCTCCAATCCTGCACTGTCAAATGCACAGTGCATTAACAGTTAAACTGCAAGGCATATACAATCCATTTATATCATCCTGTCTGCCATATTGCACAGTGCAGTCGCTCCTCTGCATCGCACGTACCGTGCTTGCATTATGTAAGAGACTTCTCTCGTGCCCTAGTTACCACCATCATTTTAGTTTTTTTTCTTGTGACTTTTTATTTTATTTTGTTCGTATTGTGCACAGAGTTCCATCATCGGTATCGGAGAGCGAGGCCGTCCGCTGTGGATGTCGTATTTTTTTTAAATCGGCGAAGAAAAAAGGTTGACATTTGTTACAGTCCAGATAGCAGCGGATTGTTGTGCTGTGCACGCTTCTGGCTTGAGCTGAGCTCGGCTGCAGCGTATATGCAGCTCAGCACGGTGCGCGTGTACGCACTGGATGAAAGGCTGTCGCTGGCAATTTAGAAAGCACTTGTTGGAGGCTAAGCAAAAGGTATTAGGTATTATAAACCTGCTTCGGCTTTCGCGTCAAGCCCTGGTACTCCTGATGGTGAAAGCGGCAGCACGACGCATTAAAGGCACCTGGACCGGGTTTTTTTTTTTCTGCTGCTCTGCGTGAATATCGCCCCGTGAAATCGGCGCCGACAAATGTTCCGCTCGCGCGCATGAGATTGCTGCTACGGCCCCTTCGTACCCGAGGGCATGACGACGAGAGAGTTCCAGAAAGGGCGGTGGAATGAGGTGGGCCTGTTGGTGCTAGCTTAGCAGCCGCTCCGTGACTGCGTCGTTACCCCGTGCCGTGCTCCGACGGGTTTCTGAAATGAGGTGTGGCATCCACAGCGACCGCCAAAGGATGCAAGAAGGGACGCGTGCTGCTGCCCGCGCCGTGCGTCCGTTTGCAATGTCCTGGATGCGGGCGTGCGGCTGAGCCCCCACCAAACTCGGCGTAATAATCTTCTGGTGGTTGTGGCAGAGCTAAAAGGGCACGCAGTCTGCACCGCATTGATGGGAATAAGGGTTTGCCCGACCTCCAGGCTATGGTTTTTAAAGTAGAACTCCAAAGAATGTTGTCCCGCCAACATGAAAGGGAAATCAACGCCTGCCTGGTGCAGAAGATGTGTTGCATGGGTGCGTATATATATTTCTCTCTTTGCATGCGCAATGCGTAGGACCGCGTGGCGTTTTATTTTTTTTAAAGGCCGCGAGCATCTCTAGAAGCGGTTAATCTGGCACCGTGATGTCACCGGGAATTTGTGTTCAGTTTCTCTTCGGCACTGATGTGAGTGCTCATTAGGGATGGACGTTTGAATGCTGTAATTGTACATTGTATCCTTGTCGAAATGTAGAACACTAATTGTATGTTTTAATTAATATCTCAATGCCTTGTAAAGTAGTCGTTCTCTTGTTTTAAACTTCATGTATTTAATCTTTTTTATTATTGCTCTTTCCCTCCGCCCCAACATGTGCATCCCCATCATTGGCTGGTGACTGGAAAAATAATATTCAACACATTGTTTTCCCCCTCCTATTGTAATTACAGTACCTGTACCTTCAAAATGTAGACTTTTTCAAACGTCGAAATTGAGTTGCGAAAGCATAATGTCGCACGACTGGTGCATGTATGCGTCGAATTTTATTTTAACTTGTATAGTCATGCACTGGGTATTTAGTGCCCACGTGACAGCTTAAGAGATTTCACTCCCTGCTCGAGCTAATTAAAAACAAAGGTCCGTGTTTGCAGCTGAGCATGCGGATTAAAGCCCAGTCCTTGGCGTCTGCCCACTGTAAGGTAGCTGCGTATCCAATCGCATGGAAACGAGTCGAACCCAACGTAGTGCTGACAAACTACAGTGAGGGAAATAAGTATTTGACCCCTCTGCAAAACGTGACTTAGTACTTGGTGGCAATACCTTGTTGGCAACCACAGAGGTCAGACGTTTCTTGTAGTTGGCCACCAGGTTTGCACACATCAGATCTTCAGATCTGATGTGTGCAAATCTTCTCCAAGTCATTAAGGTTTTGAGGCTGACGTTTGGCAACTCGAACCTTCAGCTCCCTCCACAGATTTTTTTATGGGATTAAGGTCTGGAGACTGGCTAGGCCACTACAGGACCTTAATGTGCTTTTTCTTGAGGCACTCCTTTGTTGCCTTGGCCATGTGTTTTGGGTCATTGTCATGCTGGAATACCCATCCACGACCCATTTTCAATGCCCTGGTTGAGGGAAGGAGGTTCTCACCCAAGATTTGACGGTACATGGCCCCGTCCATCGTCCCTTTGATGCAGTGAAGTTGTCCTGTCCCCTTAGAAGAAAAACACCCCCAAAGCATAATGTTTCCACCTCCATGTTTGACGGTGGGGATGGTGTTCTTGGGGTCATAACCAGCATTCCTCCTCCTCCAAACACGGCGAGTTGAGTTGATGCCAAAGAGCTCCATTTTGGTCTCATCTGACCACAACACTTTCACCCAGTTGTCCTCTGAATCGTTCAAATGTTCATTGGCAAACTTTAGACGGGCATGTATATGTGCTTTCTTGAGCAGGGGGACCTTGCGGGCGCTGCAGGATTTCTGTCCTTCACGGCGTAGTGTGTTACCAATTGTTTTCTTGGTGACTATGGTCCCAGCTGCCTTGAGATCATTGACAAGATCTTCCCGTGTAGTTCTGGGCTGATTCCTCACCGTTCTCATGATCATTGCAACTCCGCGAGGTGAGATTTTGCATGGATCCCCAGGCCGAGGGAGATTTACAGTTCTTTTGTGTTTCTTCCATTTGCGAATAATCGCACCAACTGTTGTCACCTTCTCACCAAGCTGCTTGGCAATGGTCTTGTAGCCCATTCCAGCCTTGTGTAGGTCTACAATCTTGTCCCTGACATCCTTGGAGAGCTCTTTGGTCTTGACCATGGTGGAGAGTTTGGAATCTGATTGATTGATTGCTTCTGTGGACAGGTGTCTTTTATACAGGTAACAAGCTGAGATTAGGAGCACTCCCTTTAAGAGTGTGCTCCTAATCTCAGCTCGTTACCTGTATAAAAGACACCTGGGAGCCAGAAATCTTTCTGAGAGGGGGTCAAATACTTATTTTCCTCATTAAAATGCAAATCAATTTAACATTCTTGACATGCGTTTTTCTGGATTTTGTTGTTGTTATTCTGTCTCTCACTGTTCAAATAAACCTACCATTAAAATTATAGACTGATCATTTCTTTGTCAGTGGGCAAACGTACAAAATCAGCAGGGGATCAAATACTTTTTTTCCCTCACTGTATAACAAAAAACAAACGAGGTTTAAAAAAAAATACATTGCCCGCAAAGTGTATGGTGATTTTGTTGGGAATACTGTCTCCAAAACCCTAGAAACTCCCTGCTGATGACGTTATCGATAAAACATATTTTGGATGTGTTGCATGTGTAAATTGTGTGTTTTTTATGCAAATGATAAGTAAAGTGAATGCTCATTTTGTCCTGTCACGAGCAGATTAATTGATTATTTCAGTCGTTGATAGTTGCAGCTCTAAACTTTTTGTGCACGTGCGTTGGTGGATGAAGGTACTTCACATTGAGGCCACATTCTCCAACGTATTAAATAACCCATCTTGATGTTCAATGAACGCCTTCTCACTCTTAAGGTGTTGGGATTCACATGAGTCGGTTTCATCAGAACGTAGAGTTCAGTATTTAAAACGCAATTACAAAGTTATTTGAAACCATTTGCCAATACATTTCTGGATGTTGGCTTTCCCCCATGTCGTGACGGTCATGGAAGTTACTGAACCATGCTTCACCATGCTGATAGTGCGGGTTGGTGAAGGGGGAGGGGCCCAGGATTGGTTCTGATATCACTCGCTCCACTGCTGTTGTTAGCAGTGGCTGCGAATTAAGCTCAGTTCGCTGGGGTCATCGTGCGTGCGTTTACCACTGTGCCACTGCTCTCCATTTTAAATATGCTAGGGTGTAATTTTCCCTGACATTTGTTGACCCTGAATGAACTTTCGTATACATAGTATTAGTATTTAAAATAATTAATTTACCAGGTACAGCCCACTGCACTGTTCGCTCTTTTTCAGCAATGACCTGGCCGCGCTTGACAGCTCGTGGAAGTGGCTTATATCATCATGTGCGGGAATTTATAGCAGCAGCCAAATCATCTAAATTCATGTTTCTAAATGTGGAAGGGTGTGACCAGAGGGCCCAGAGGAAAAATCCACGCAACCGCGGGAAGAACGGGCACACTCTAAATATCCAGGTGTTGAGATCCAACCCACAACCCCCTGCATGCTGCATACCATGCGATGGAGCGAACATCTCACCACAGCAGCGCTTCAAATCGTTACTTGCATTGTCGTACGTTGTTGTGTCGTCTTTTTCCCTCTGGTATTCACTCGTTTTATATGTGAATATCTGCCGCTTTGGTATCTTGTAATATAACGTCAGGAGTTTTTAGGTTCGTTCTTATTATTTTACGAATGGGAATGTTCCGTGTGGTAATCGGTTAGCGATGTGGCTGTGTTGGTTGTTTCATCCCGGGTATCGCTTACAGTCCTCTACCTCAGAGGGCACTTACAGAGCCCTAAATAAATGATGATGGCGGCGATGGTGATAATGGTTTTTTTTGCTGGACAATCAAACAGTTGTAATCCATTTCCCTTCACGCACTTGCATTTCTCATCAAACAGCAGCTGCTGCATTTCTCTTAATAATGAGAAATGCCACTTTCTGATATAGGGTATATCATTGCTTGTGTTGCAGTCGAAACGTCGTGAGAATTTTATTGTTTCATATTTGTATTATTTTATTGTTTCCCTTCTACGTGACTTTACCGAAAGAACCAAGAATATGAATCCCTGCAGTCACGAAAGCTTTAAATCAAAATTTAGGTTATATCAAGTTGTAATCGTGAACATATGAAGTAGTGGTTAGCACATGTTTTGTGAAGTCTTGTTTACTCTGATAAATGTGTGTTACCCAAGCTGAAGTGCACATTAAAAATAGTGTCAACTCGGAAATGAAAGATGCCTGCTCGGGCAGTTGTGGATTTAGCAGATTCCATATTTAGGAACGCCATGATATCATATTCATTTGCTTACCTTGCGTTCACATTTTGCCATTTGAAGTCTCTTACAGAGTGGAAGAAAATAATCTGTAGCTGCATATATATGCTATATATGCTCATTAGAGTGCACCGACCCATATTTGTCAATGTCTCGGATGAAACCAAAAACTGCAACCGAGTTTTACGTCTTTATTTCGTTGCCTCATTTGGCTGCAAACGTGTTCTTTCTCAGGGTCTTGATGATCAACCGTAAGGGCCTTCGAATCATGTTGCTGACCGTGGATTTTCTTTGTGTGTTACAGATGAACGGGACAAAGTTCAGAAGAAAACCTTCACCAAATGGGTGAACAAGCACTTGATAAAGGTAACGTCACGTTATTCGATGATGATTAAGGGATATGGTAACGAAGGGTCTCGTTAATATATTTGCCTCAGTGACTCATCACTCAAGCTACGGTTTATTTTAAGTTCTCATAGCTTTAAAACATCGTGCGTAGGGGGGGGGGGGGGCCAGACATTTGTGACGGATGTGTGACGAGGGAGGGAGCGGGGTTGAGAAATGTGACGTCATATCAAAATGCGCAGCTTTAAATAAATATAGACAACACGTTCTACTAGTTAAATAGACTTTTTAAGAAATGTTTTCTCCCACAACATCAGAGTGCAGCAGAACATTACGCACTACAATAACAACAGTTTAAAGCGTTTTGATGCATGTTTATTTTTTTTGGGGGGGGGGGGGTTTGGGCAGAGCTTTGTGACGTCATATTTGAGGGGGGGGGTCTGACTTTTTGTGACGCCGTTTGACGAAGGGAGGGGTCAAATCGTCTAAAATCGCGTGACGTCATTTATGGACGGCCCCTTATACAGCACAAACGCGAAAATCTACGCAGTTAGTGTATTGTTTCGAGTTCCTCTGGCGTGTTTGACAAAGCGGGAATGAAAAGTAGTTGAATCAAAGTGCACCGACTCAACGCCAGCAAATTAGTAACGTTGTACATCAACCTTAAATACGTGAATTGATGGAACGCATCCGGGCAAAGATGTGAAGGTGCGTCATGGAAAGAACCCCAACAGCACAGCAGAGAGCTATCCAGCACTGCCGTGAACACCTACACAGCAGGATAAAACATTCATCACTTAACTATGGTGTGCCGTATTCAGTACGGATGCATCACATCGTACTGCTTCCGTGATAAGTATGCTGCCATTTGCCCACTGCACTGTATGCGACAACATTAATTTGACGTGCTCATTGTCATTCAGTTATTGGCAAGGAATGTGTTTCCAGCTGCCTATGAACGTCACTTGATCGGTGACTCCACTCTTTCGTCTCATTGTGGTGTGTGCCAGTACTCTTCAGTGACACGTGTGGACTGTCGAATGGAGAGAAGCACACTGAAATTTGTTTCTTGATAGCAACTAGTACATAATTGGACGCTTTTAGTGCAAGAAGTGCTGGGGCAGGAAGTCCAGATCATCGATTGTGACGCATCAGCCAGGCATTATCATTCATTGCGTTGTCTTGATAGCGAGACTTTTTTTTTTAAGCGGGAACATACAATGTACTTTATATCATTGTTGTAGTTGGCATGTGAGCAATTACGAGTGTACCTTAATAATCAAAGGTGCATTTAGAACTAGTTAAGGAGACACCCTGTTGTTGTTTAGGTGACATCTGGATTATGAATTGATCCAATATTACATTATATTATCAGCAAACAATATATACGTCAGGTTTTCTGCTCAACGAGCATGGACTGGTGACCGTCTGAGCCAATAGTGAAAACTCCGCGTTGCTATGGACGAGCGAACCACGGATAACAACCACCGCTAAATTTATGTAAAATGGTTACTCAATTTATCTGTCCCAGATGGATAAACGGCCAAGTTTACTCCCGATTGGTATTGAACTTTTAACCATCTTGATGCTTGCCACATACTATTACCATCGCGTCACTTGGCTCAATATTTGCCTGTGTTTAGCCAAAGCAAAATCTGGGTGTTGTCTCAATCACAGGTTTCAATGGTTTCACAGGCAGCGCACCGGGTTAACACAACATGCTGCTGCCACCTTTTCTGATCCGTGTAACACAAAATCAATGTTTAGAGTGTGTCTTGTTTAGAGTGTGTCTTGGGACACTCTAAACATTATCCTTTTTAATGCAAATTGCATTATATACTGTGTTTTTTTTACAAGTGAAAAACCCAGAGTCGTGGCAAATTGCCTAAACGTTATGTTTCGAGCACATCGTGTGTTTCATTATCCATGGCGTCTGTGGTAACATTTTCTTTGCTTTTGCTTCGATGTATACTTTGCCATTTGTACAATAGTATTGAGCTGATGTCGATGTCATTCTTGGTTTCAGCCCTAAATACTGAGCAACCCTGCTGCCGCCAGTTCTCATGACTGTGCTGAAAACTCCTACTCGCTTGCCAACGTGGCTTTGAAATCTGACAGCTGTATATTTCTGACAGTAATGTGTTTAATTATGTTGTGGTTTAATGGTGAGCACACTGGGCTTTAAAGCTTTCCTATATTTTGCACTCCTATCGGTGTTAGTATTGTTTGTTGTTGTTGTAATGTACCGACCCACTCCTGGTAGACATCTGTGAAAACGAGCTTCATAGCTCTTCGGATTCCTCCAGTATAAGTAGAGATTCTGATTCAATCCAGCTGCTGATGGTTCAATCTCCCAGTGCGGAAGTTGAGACGGTTGAATCTTGAAAAAATCCCCCCCCCCCCCCCGGGATCTCTTCAATCGTTAGTATACATGGTGCAAGAGTTGGTCAGAATACCAACTCGAGTGGCTACTCCCTCTTGTGGAGGCCCTTCCAGCACAGCGGTGGCATGACGAAGGCATTTCAGGACTGCACCTTCACCGCATTTTATTATCCGCGATGTTAAATTGCTAGAATGTTAACTTATACTTGTAAGTATTTAATGACGTGACGGCAGTGTTGAATCGTTATATATAACGATGCGCGTTTAAGAAAGTTGCCCGCGACGAATCGGCTGACATTGACTGACCTTACCTGACCCTGCGTTTCGCCAGTGTGGCAGCAGATTTTTTTTTTCGAAACTACTTTTGGCTAAGTATAGTAGCTGGAGATCGCTCGCGTGTGTGGCCTTGTGCAAAAGGTGTGTGAGGAATGTTCGTCCTTGACAATGCTTCACACGCGTTACGTCCGCTTAGATTTGGATGAATTTTCGACACGATGTACCAAGCACCGCATTGTTCGGTGGACGAATCGGCACTTTGGAAGAGCTATTTACGTGTCCATTGTCATGTTATCTCTTCTAAATATTTCAATGCGGTTGGTATTTTTAGTTCTTGAATGTGGGACATTTCATATAGGTACTTCTTCGGCGGAAATAAAGGCATAGCGTATTGAAAGTTTTGACGAACACACTTCCTATTCATGGTTCTTAATGTAAAGTCACGTAGAAGGCAAATAATAAAATAATACAAATAAACCAATAAAATTATCACGACGTTTCGATTGCAACACAAGCAATCATCATCAGGTGTGAAAACCACAGCAAGAAAATTTCAAATTTTCTGTGGTTTTCACACCTGATGATGATTGCTTATGTTGCAATCGAAACGTCGTGAGAATTTTATTGTTGTATTTGTATTATTTTATTATTTCCCTTCTGCGTTACTTTACAGAAAGAACCAAGAATATGAATCCCTGCAGTCACGAAAGCTTTAAATCGAACACACTTCCATCGATTTTATTATATCATAACTCATCGTGCACATCACTGTTACGCTAGTTTATTAATTGTGCAAGCTTATTCCATCCAATCATGTATATGCATTGTGTGCCAGTCTCATGTCTGATGCAAGTGATTAATAACATACTTCCCGATCTTTGTGCATTTTTAGGAATATCAAAATGCCTCGCTTTTATGATAATTTGTGTTCTTTGCTTGCCATTTTTGAATTTGATTTAAAAACACATCTGCATACCAGCAGCTATTTGTGAATCATCATGATCATGATCATCATCACAAGCCATGATATATCCACTGTTGGAGAGGATGCCATCACTTCAATAAAGAGAACGAACATTTTGATGAGCAGTGAACTGAAAGTGGGAAGAAAAGTTAAAACATTTGTGAACAGAATTCTAGGAGAACAAGTTTTTAAAAACGACAACACTCGCGATGACGAAAAAGAGATGAGATATGGAAATTGATTTTTAAAATGCCAAAGTATGGAATACACAGAACTCTGTAAAGCCCTTCAGGAAATAATGAGAAAATACATTTTCACAACACAATACAAACATGGGTGAAGATGCCATTGCAAGCAAATGGGAGCAAATAAATTAGCGGAAAGGAAGTTAATGAACGGTAATCACAATATTAGCTCTCGGAGAGCAAGATAGTAGTGTCCCGCATGATATGGCGAGTAAAATATAACTCGTGGGGAAATTCTATGCATATCTGTCAGAAGTTTCGGCAGACATACCACCATTACTGGCTAAATGTGGGTTGTCCTTAATCCAGCAGTGGATTGACAAAGGGCTGTACATTAGTATTCAGGGATATTGTTATTAAAATGTCTAAATTCATCCTTTATTAATCTGTAAATTACTAGAAAATTCCATCATAATAGAAGTAAAGTGGAGGCTGGAAAAACATAAATTTAAAATAAGATGCATAAATGTGTAAAAAGCACAGGGCCTACGTGCATTAGCCAAGTTCACAATATTTATTTATCCTCAAGGAATCCGATGAGCCATGGAGCTCTTTTTCACAGATATCCCGTTGACGGGTCAAGCTAATGTACCCCATAGTGTACACGGTGGGACTCCACTATACAGTTCTCAGAGGCAGACATTAAAGCAGTGAATATTGGTTACTATTCTGTGGTGACAAGTCCAAATAAGGATAAAGCAGGTCGACAGTTGTCTGTCTCTGTGTCACTGCTGCTGTCAGTTGGTCACATTTGCTCAGAGTTATCTTGAAGGCTAGAGGACCACAATGGAATTCTTCAGTAAATTCTGATGCTTTTTGCATATTCTCAGAGGCCGTGTGCTTTTTACACATGTTCATTTGTTCATTGAATCTCATCCATCGATTGATATTTTAGTTTCGTCATAGCAGCTATGGCTTATGGTTCACAAACATGATCGTTAACCAAAAGCATGGAACAAAAACTGAAATTGGGCAAAAAAGCATGGAGATATGCATGCTTAGAATGACATTGAGAGACGGTTGAACACAAGGTTTAGAGGATATATACACAGGTTAACGACATAATTCGGACTGTTACGAAATGTAAGTGGGCTTGGGCAGGACTCCGCTCAAAGGGACGATGGCTGATGGTCACAAATGATGGCGGAGTGACA